GAAAGAATGTCAGTGGCTTGGTTAGCCTGTTTTTGTTTTGGTCTACCAATGTGCTATCTTTCAACACCTTGTTGCCTTCACCCCACACTTGGTGCCAACTGTCACAGGCCAGTTGGCCTCCACTAATAACTGGCAGTGCTGCTAGTCAAAACCAAGATACAGGTGGTGACTATGGTATTTTACAAACACAACATAGCCTTAAAACAGCTTGCATGGTCATACGTGCCACCAACTTTCTTCTGTTACTCTTAATTGTGCCCTTTAAAAACTGTTGTTGAGCCATATTGTTGCTGCCTGTGATGTGCATGGTTGAAACCTTTGTTTAGCTGTTGAAGTGACATGGCTATTAGTGCTCCATAATTACCATCTTAACAGAACAAATTCTAACTGACAAATACAGGTCCCTTAATTATAAATATCCATTTTACAAATATAGATAAAAAGTAAAGGCATATCTATAATCTCACATGTAGAGATCAAAAGATTAATAATAAAATGACAGAAACCCCTATTGTCAATAAATATGCAAATGTAAAAAGCATCTACTTCTATGGATATTACGTCATCAGACAAAAATTACTTACGTATCCATTAATATCATGCCCCACTGTCTACGAATGCAGATTGATCATTTTTACTATGTTAAACTTTCCTGCGTCATCTTTGTCTGTGTACCAGGATCACTGCTGCTCTCTGACTTCCTTCTGCTAAGCTGTGGATGGGAGTGGCTCACTGGGGCCCTGGTCCAGAGTTAATTAAGAGCTCAGGGAGGAGCCCCCCCACCCCCCACATAGAAGCCAGCTGGAGCCTGCCTCAGATTAGACTCCCAGAAACAAGGATAAACTCGCACCAAGATACATAAACATGTATACAAAGGCACTCCAAAAACACATGTGCAATTAGCTATCCTTTCGCATTGTGCTCAGTCCACATCCATGTGCGTATGTTGACCATGTGACCATGAAGGGATTTAAATCACTGACTCCCTTCTTGTTTGGCTAGAAAACCCAGGCATCTATAAAAGAAATCATAAGTGCACAGTGACACGTGACCTTCTGTCCATGGTTCACCTCTGCAGAGGTATGTCTTGCTCAAGGCTAGGATAAACCTCATTAGACCAAAAAGAAATGAATATTAAAGTGCACCAGACACGAAATACTGTATGAGTATTTCCGTCATTTTCCATTCTCTGGCTCAACTCTGAGACAGACACAGCTGGCCTAGAGCAACAGCCATTCCTTCGTAGGCTGTCACTTTACTGGATGTCTACTTGTCACGAAAGCTGTGAGGAGGACGTATCTCTAGGATGTCATAAAGCAAGACCTCATCGTGTGTTAAAGAACAGAGTAATTAGCATAACCGTAATCAGTCTGGGTAACTAGGGTTCTGTGCTGAATACTACAGAAAAGGTTCATTAAATTGTTATGTGTGTTCAACTGTCAAAGACCTGTTCTTAACTGTAACAAACAAAAATACTTGCAAAGAATGCAGCATAGACTTTATTCTATAAGTTGACGTTTTGGTGCATAGTGTGACTTCTTCAGAGCCTAAAGCACAGCACAGGTCACATCACAGCTTCTGAGGTACAAGACATAGAGTGTCAGAAGGGAATTTAATAAAATCTTGTAGAACAGAATAAAGAAAGTCACTTTTGGCTTTTCCCATTTTAGGAGTCGCCACAGCGAATCGTCACACTGACGACTCGCATGTTGACATTTGGTACGTGTTTTACGCCAGATGCCCTTCCTGACGCAACCCTGACTCGAACCCGGGCCACAATGCCGAGAGCGCTGCACCTTAACCACTGGCCTACCAGGGACGGCTAAAATCTTGTCGAACAGAAAACTTAAAATAAAATGTAACAATACAGTTCAGCAAGATTTTATGGTAACTGCCCTTTTTTGGAAGTACTTTTGCTTATTTGTGTTTCACTGTACTTGCTTTTTAAAGCGAATGAGTTCAAGTTTGTTGTTGTACAAGTGTCTGTCAAGATGATGCAACACTTGACAGTATTCACTATTAAATATTCCAATCTTTTAAGGCTGAATGCTTCTTAGGAAACCTTTCAGCCTGTTTCCAAAGAAAAATGAAAACTGTGAGGGAACAGTGTATGGGAGTGTGTAGTAATAATCTGATTAGCGGTGCTTTACCAGTCTGTGATCAGCACTGGTTTCTTATACATGTGATAAACTAATCAGGGAGACAGCTATGCTGTTCAGCACTGACTGAAAGTAGCACTCAAAGGCTGCATACAGCTCACCAGGACTTGACTACTGGGGGGGGGGGGGGGGGGAGCGCAAAAAA